TCCGACCATGATTTCTGTTTGCTTCATGCAGTTGAATGGTAGAACATCAGTATATCGAATAATGCCCTCTGAAAACAAATCAATTGTGTTTTTAGTGTAAATAAACCAAGAGGCCTTGGGCGCTGCTACCTCTTTGAGCTGCTGCAGTTCCACTTTGAGGGCTTCATGCTCCTCTTCCAGTTGCTGATTTTTGATCTTGAGGGCTGAACTCTCCTCCAGCACCACCAGGCCATAGCGGGCGGCCTGCAGCTTCTCCTCTGTGGCCTCCTGGAGCTCGAGAGTCAGGCGTACCACTTCAGCTCTGAGGTCTGCGCTCTCCATCCCGGCAACCTCGTCCCCTGCCAGCGCTGCACCTGCCACATCTGCATCTGACTCTGCCTCCAGCATGCTTGCCTGGCTTCCCACTTGTCTTCCAGCCTGCTCCTGTGACCTCCTTTACAGCCTCACTCTCATGACTCCACCCTATTGCGAAAGCAGAAAACACACATTAAATGACTTGAAGACGACAAATGTAGCCTGTTGTAAAAGAAAATTAGAGGGTGTCCCCATATTCTCAACACCAAGGAAATATCTTGACATGAACTGTAGGTTTTTACATCCACAGATTAATCATGTAAATATGATATAAAATAGCAATGGGGAAGTAGTGATACCAGTTATCATGACAAAATCAATACTGGGCCCTTTTCAAATGTATTGGTGTAGGCTGTTGATACAAGCTAATGGGTAAAATTTTTACATTGAATAAATCCATTTTGGTCGTAGTTGGTGTTACACTGTGGCAAATCACCACCTGTCAAAAAGAAAGATGTTTGCTCAGAATTATCTGTCAATATGTTCACTGAAATTGTATGACTCAAAAGTAATAGTGGTATCTCGTGCTTGCCGATAGAGAAGAAAAAAGTATCACGACATTGGCCATTTTATATCATAACCATATACCACGATATATTTTCAGGTATTCTATTTAAAAAATTATATTACACATGACGACTACTTACCTTTTCTCACTTTATTTTTAAGTGACATTAAACAGAAATTTACCAAATGAGAAATGCATCCAATAGTGCTGCTATATAAAATTATCTTTATATTATTAATACTAACAGGCTACTCAAGTAAAGTACAGTAGTACCACGATATATTTTCAGGTATTCTATTTAAAAAATTATATTACACATGACGACTACTTACCTTTTCTCACTTTATTTTTAAGTGACATTAAACAGAAATTTACCAAATGAGAAATGCATCCAGTAGTGCTGCTATATAAAATTATCTTTATATTATTAATACTAACAGGCTACTCAATTAAAGTACAGTAACCTAAAGATGCACTTAAGTACTGGGGGAAATTATTTGTATTTCCACAGCTGCAAAGCGTGCACCTTGCAAGTAATGGGCATTTAACACAGCGAGTATAACTACTACTAACCAGCAAGACATTGACCACCATTATTTGTAGCACAGCAATACGCAGATTTTCCATGCCATGACAAAAAAAGACGTCCATGAACGTTTGTATGCCGTTTGGGTGGGGCAGACGGTCACCATTTGCTCACATCCTCTCGATTCACCGAAGATGGAAACGCCAGCTGCCTACTCGTTGTCCGGCAGTCGAAACCCGCTCGTGTGTCCGGTGGTGGTTTCCCCTCTGCCACGACCCAGCTTCTCAAATGGCTGCTGTCATCGGAGAACATTTCGAGCTGCAGCCCTTTTTAAACACACTAAGCCACCCCGTTTGTCTGTCTTTCCGTCTGAACTAGTCGGCCGGGAAAGGGAGCGTGAAAGCCCGACGCGGAAACGCACGCTGGTCGGACAGCTAGCAAGTAGATGTTAGCCATTACGCGACGGAAATACTTGACGCTCCGAGCAGAACACGCTGCGCGGATGGAAGTGCAAAGTGGGTGTGCAGGCGCCATTGCTTTCTGTGGTTTCTTAACGTAGAAAACGCCGACAATTGAAGGGATTCATATTGGCGTCATCCCGCTCCGACAAGCTCATTTAGCAAAGGATAGATACAACATGGGCCAAACGGAATGTTACAAACCTTATGTTTACCCCCCAAGATGTGACTCGGGTCAAATTGGTAATTGCTCGATGCTCCCGTGGCGTGGAAGCTGTCAGCGGGAGATTATCCTACGCGGGGGGCCCGGAGCTACCGCGTGTCCGCTGAGGTCCCTCGTTTTGCCGGGTTGGGCTGGAGTCTCGCGGCGAGGTCGAGCCGACTCGAGTGAGCTGAGTGCCCTCCTGCAGCGTCAAATGCGCGCCCAAACGTCAAGGCACAACTGCTCCATCTACCAAACAATCGGGGAGTTGCACCTTCACAGCGACATGCACAGTACAGTACAGTAAAGTACAGTATAGTATAGCCACATGATTTTATGTGGCCCGCGAAAGCAAATCAACCAGGTAACGTCCATGACGCTTGCTAAAATCTGTACCCAAAGTTCAAATTGTCATATGTAATAAATAGGCATGTTGAGCTATTGCAAGCATTTTCTTGTTTTACATTAGTACAGAAACTTAAACAGGGGAACAAACTACTCTCCTTGACTTTTGATTTCAAAATTGGTTGTATATTGATTGTGTACTGTATATGTAATAATACGAGGAGATGATTAAACATGTATACAGTTTCGCAGTCATAATGGCCCTCTTAGGGAAACTGTGACCACAATGTGGCCCACGACAAAAAGTTGACATGGTCTACAACGATACTGGTAGTGAAATGTACTGTGTTGGTAGGTGTATGAATTTGGTTTCTTAGTCTGCTTGCTTTCTGGTTTTCATAGTGAAGTTGATGAGAGAGAGCTGCAAACAGTGGTGTCTACAAGAAAGTTTATGTTCGATGGTCTTCTTTTCTGTGACAAAACTTGAAAAGGCTTATTTGGTTATTATTTGTTTCATGAATACAGTAATGTTGTTATTTGTGTAAGTTGAGGGGTTCGTTGTTTTTCCGTGGATGGCTCTTCTTTACGAATGACAGATGGAGAGATGGAATCCATTAATGCAGTTTATTAAAAAGGAGAAAGAAAAAAGAAACGTCTGCACCTCCGAACGGATGAACGAGAACACACCTCCCTTTCAGTCACGAAGGCACTTCAGCTTCTCCTTAGCCAATCAGACGCAAGCAACATAAGAATGTTTCAACAATTATTAAACACAATATAATTTAGATAACTATAACATAAAAGAATATAATGCTCAAATATAAAATGAAAATAATTAATAATTTAACATAAGCTTACATTTGTTTAATTAATAGTTTGATTTTTTTATTTTCTGATTTCTTGGAGTGGGGGGTTAAGATTCCAGAAAGGGTTACTATTTGGTTATGTTGGGCTTTTCGGAAAACAATAAAATTGTAAGTTTTGACACCTCTGCAATCATCACATTTTTTTGTTACAAACTGATACCGGCCTCCGTCAGAGAAGGGAAAATTTACTTCGCCCTCACAGGAAAAAGTTTGGAGATCCCTGCGACAGACAAACTACATGCATGGCAAGCCTTCCATGGTAATACAGTACACGTAATATAAACAGTTTACTAGCTATGTTTTGCATGCATATACTTATGATTACTATTGATTATAATATGTATTCTCCTTGTTTTGGAATATCCGTAGCAAGTAAAGGTCTTATTTATTGTTCACATTTTCTTGCACATAAAATTATTATGTTCACGATTAAACATATGTTTCCAGAAAGGCCACAACGAGGCAATTTAACTGATTACACATTTGTATATTTTTAGCCCCGTGTTCACAGGCACTTATTTTGGGTGTGAGACATATGTACTTGAAATTTATGAATGATACTGGTGTCACGTGATGAGGTTTAAAGCTTGGAACGCCATTACCTCCAGCAGATAATTGTCACTTTGCCACACCTAATATGGGGACAACGTTCACGCAGGATTCTGGTGGAGCCGGGGTCAAGGCATATTTCATGCCCATAGTGACGATAGCCTCCACGTTTTATTAAAATTTCACAGGTATAATTTTCACACATAGAATTATGAAAGATTTTATTCAACAACATATGATTGCAGCATCCAGATATAGACAAAGGAATACACTTCCGTTTGTGCTCGCTCAACTTCCTCTGTACTTCCTGGTGTACGGGAAAACTTTCCGCTAGTAATTACTACCACTTCTACTACTTCTCAGTGTGGCGCATATTTTTAGTATTTTACAAAATGAAGATAGTCACCTGGAATATAAATGGTATACGGTCGTTCAGATGTGGGATCAAAAAGACGCTTGATGAGCTGGACGCGGATATCATATGCGTGCAGGAGACCAAAGTGACAAGTAAGCGGAGAACACGCGGGCTAATTAAAACAGTTAATGCAACTTTTTTATTTCAACTAACTCGAATTGTGCATAGGAGACCTGCTCGATGAGAGGATTGCCATCGTTGATGGTTATAACTCCTATTTCAGCTTCAGTCGAGGACGCAGTGGCTACTCAGGTTTGTTATCCTGACGTCACCGTTTCAATTATATTTTCAGGCTTTCAGGCATGCCATCAGTTTAATATGCTAAAGAAAAAAATTCCGCTGAGCCTGACTTATTAGATGATCAACTTTTGCAGTGTCACAGAGAAGGGGAGCCAGACTCTCTTGATGTCACATTGTACTCGTTGTGTGTAGGTGTCGCCACTTATTGTAAGGACAATGCCACACCTATAGCTGCTGAGGAGGGTCTCACCGGTCTGTTGACCAATAACGCAGGGGGTATTGGTTGTTATGGTAACCACTCCGAGTTTACAGACGAGGAGCTGCAGCTTTTGGACAACGAAGGCCGAGCTATCATCACGCAACACAGAGTACAGTAAGAACATTAACTCAGTTGGACTGACTGGATGTTTATGTATGGCTGTATTTTCTAGTTACTGTTGCTGTTTGTCCTGACAGGTGTTCGGACAAAATCCAAACTATTACTGTGATAAATGTTTACTGTCCGCGAGCTGACCCGGAAAAGCCAGAACGAAGACAGTTCAAACTGCAGTTCTACAAGTTGCTTCAGACTCGAGCTGAGGCTATGTTGAAGAACGGGAGGTGTGAGGGGAATCTTGCATTCATTGGATCAAACTGGCACTAACTCCTCATTTCTCATTTCAGTTGTTTTCTTTTCTAGCTCTGTAATCCTTTTAGGGGATGTAAATACCTCTCATCGGCCAATAGACCACTGCGACCCGAATGAAATTGTAAGTACTGGACATGGATTAAATTAAAGCAAACCTTTATTTGGCCCCAAAGCACACAATATTTGACATTTAGAAAAATTTCACGGCTAATCAAAAATAAAATTTAAAAAAAGTCACAAAGTCTATATTTACTGAAACAACGAACTTGTCAACTTTAGTCGCATATTTACTCAGCGTAAAATCTGGATGTGTTTAGTTGAGCACAAAGCTGTATCTCTCTTGTATGAATGGCAACAATTCAATTCACAGTTTAATTGTACCTCCACCCATTTAGTAGAATAGTGAGGGGAGTTTCAGCCATAGTCTTGTCAAATAGGAATGTACTGTCGTGTTTTGTTGCCATTATGCAGCATCACCTAAGCCTATTCACAGCAGAGCAGGGCTCCGTCCCTCTAACAATATAGAACCTGAATAGTCAATTTAACACAATTGGTGACTCATCCGCTTTAAAAAAATTAAATTAAATAAACGACTCAACAGTTTGAGCATCAGGATCAATTCATTGCTGCTCCTTTTGGGGTATGCGAGTTTCATTCAAGGGTCAGTATAATACAGTATAGTCACAGAGATGCTAACGAGGAACAGATACACATCTACTGTTAGAGGGTCAGGATAAAGAATATGTACCCATAAGTATTGTTATATTTTATGTCTACGCGTTTTGGTGCAACGTTTGTGTTCAAATATCTGTGACTATTAAGTCTTACATCACCACCACATTGACACTATCCTGGCAGGCAACCTGTTCAGGGTGTAACCCGCCTACTGCCTGAAGACAGCTGGGATGGGCTCCAGCATGTCGGTGACCCTCGTGACGACAAGCGGTTTGGATAATGGATGGAGGGATAAAGCAAAGCTAGCTACTTGGTTGTTTTAAAGACACATGTAAATGTTTAGTTTTTTTTAATTTGATGATAAACTTTAATTGGGGGTGGCCAGAAACAGTGAAAGCCTCTTATTTTTTTAATGTATTGATTACCGTCTCTAAACCTGCGATTTGTTATGCAGTAACTTGTGTTGGGTGCACTGTTCCTCTCATTCCTTAGGATGACTTTGAGGACAACCCTGGCAGGAAATGGCTGAACGTCTTTTTAAGGGATGACAAACCGTCAGCCTCAGCAGATTTCTCCCATGGTGGCAAGTTTGTCGACACATTTCGCTATTTCCACCCCACTCGGACTGGCGCCTTCACGTGCTGGTCCACTCTGACGGGGGCTCGCCGTACCAACTACGGCACGCGCATCGACTACATCTTCGCTGACCATCAGCTTGCAAAGGAGCAGTTTGTGGCGGCCGACATCATGCCGGAGGTGGAGGGCTCGGATCACTGTCCCGTGTGGGGGGCTCTCCGGTGCATTCTGCTGCCTGACTCCAAGCCGCCCCCTCTTGCTACCTGCTACCTGCCTGAGTTTGCCGGCAAGCAGCAGAAACTCTCACGCTTTCTAGTCAAAGTGGACCAGAAGTCATGTCAAACTGAATCGAAAGAGGCACTGCCTGGATCTCAGGAAGAAGCTGAAAGGAGGGAGAATATAAATGTCACGGGCACAAAGAGAATCATGAGGACAGAGTCTGTTAAGCAGATGAGTAAAAAGGCCAAAACAGCAACGACTTGTTCAAAACCCCAGGGCAACCTTCTTGCCTTCTTTAAACCCAAAAATGAAAAAGCACTTGGTTCCTCACAGAATTCCCTCAAAGCGTCCCCAACACGGGATGAGCTCACGCCGGATGTCGTGTCACAGCTCCACAGCGCCACGCAAGACAAGACGACAAAAGGTGAACATTTGAGTACACACGCGTGCAACCCACGTAGCGACAAAGGAGCATCTTTCGGCTTTTGGAAGTCCGTACTTCACGGCCCGCCCCCGACACCTGCCTGCAAAGTTCACGGTGAGCCTTGTGTGCTGCGCACTGTCAAGAAAGAGGGGCCCAACATGGGCCAGCAGTTCTTTGTGTGCGCCCGCCCTCAAGGGCATGCTGCCAACCCAGAGGCTCGCTGTAACTTCTTTGCATGGGTTGAAAGGGGCAAGTGAAAAAAAAAAAGGTGACTTTCCGAATTTTTCACCATTGGTCTACTTTCAAATTACTCTTACTAGCCTGAATAAAGTAATGTTTTACAACAATTCAGTGTTCATTATTCCTCAAAAGAGGTGGCAAAAGTACTCACATTCTACTAAAATTGAAGTAGGCTTGTATAAATCAGTAGTTAGAAGTGTAAAATAAGTAGGAGGAGTGATTTTACTCCGATACTTTAGTGAAAAAAAGTAGACTTAAATTTATGTATGAGTACAAAATATTTTTTTACCCTCAATTATTGTAGTTTTCAAATGCAGAGAGTAAAAGGTGGTCAGAAAAATAACAAAAAATACGGACATAAAGTACAGACGGCTGAATAACTCAAATGCAGTCACAAAGTAACTATGCTTTTTTATTTTCCATAACTGTTCATCAATCTTAATTTTCCTTTCAGCCATAATCCAGTACATCTGATGAGTGTTTAGTTGTGACAATCATCACATCGGATAACACATTGAGCTACAAATAATCCACAGTGAAAAAATGGTCAAACAAAATTACACCAAAAAATAAAATAGACAATGCACACTAATGCGCTCTCTCCTCTGGCCAATTACTCAACTAATAATGAATCAAATTAAATATTTTAATCTAATGCTTTTTTCTGTTATTTTAAAACAATGTACTTTTAATTTATACTTTTTTTACATTAAAAAAATGTAAATTATTATTTTTTGAAATTATGTATTTTTTTTAACTGACAGAACCTGTACTCCTACTTACCCTGCTGCCAATGACAGCCCAGTACTTATTTTCCTCTAGATGGCACTGTAGTGAGCTGCAGGCAATTAGCACCGGTATTTTTTTAACGTAGGAAAGGTTCTACCAATTGCAGTGGGCCACACATGTCACAGTAGTGCAGCCAGCATGTTATCTACAGGATGTCCAAATTTGTAGTCATGTTTTGCATTTCTCGTGTGTTGGGCTGAAAGGGAAAGTGAATCTAAGCTGGCACCAAGTTCCATTACATTATAGGTACAGTATTTGAGTACTGAATACTAGATGGGACTGGATTGAAATGGGATGCGTCTAATTTTCACCATCCTCCTTCCTCATCTACTCTTCTCTTACAGCTGCACTGAAAAGTAAACATGCAATATGAACCAACGCCTTGTTCTGTACGGACATACAGCAATACTGAATAAATGCATTTGAAATGAAGCATAAAGGCTCATGTGGGATAATAATTGACAAAGATGTAAACAAAGGACGTTTTCGCTTGCTTTAGTTAGCTTTATAAATGTATAATGTAGTTTCAGTTCGGATTTGTTTTGTTTTTTTTTAAAGCATTTTCATTCTTTGTTTTGTTTACCAAACTGTTTTTTAAAATCTGAATTAGATTTATTTTGTTACTTCCTGTTAAATAATTACCTTGCCCTCCTCTCTCATTCGCTTCTTACGCCCACATCTGTCACCAGGCCAGGCCCTGCCTTTGAAAGGCAGACACACTCAAAAGTCACAGATACTACAGTAGAACATAGGGAATGATTGATAGAATAATAAATTCTAAAAATATTGGATTGCCACCTCCCTAATAGGAAGTGTTTATGGCCATGTGGAAGAGCGTTGGGTGGGTCATACTGCTGTAAAATAGATCTAAATAACAAAATACATGGTAGTTACTCTGCGGAACGTTTCTGACACACCTCGTGTGTTCTCTTTCCCCGGAGGCCAAATCCAGCAAATGGCCTTTAGGCCTTAACGCTGCAGTCCCACTATTTAGAAGGCAAAAAATGTGTGCTGTCATGAAGCCTACTATGGTACATGTGTGGTCTGGTATAGAAAAATACTAGACAACTGACAGTATTAACCCTTTAATGCACCCTGTAACCTGAGAACATGATATGCTGCACACTGTGGTAACCGCTGTCCCTGGAAGGGTTAAGTTATTAAATTAAATTGTGCCATCAGTGTCATTTCTCACGAGATGAACCTTTTATATACCACAGCAGACATGAAAATGTTGCCAGTATTATTTACTATGCAAGAGAAAACATGTTACTTGTGAATGTGATGAAAGGAGGAAAATGAAGTCAAATTTTAAGAGTGAACAATATATGCAGGTGTTTTAATGGATTTATTGTGGAGGCACAAGTTCCAGAGAAGGTTTAGTGGCATGCCAAGATAAAGAAAATGGGTGTTTCCTGGGCGTGCAAACAAAACTCCTATGTCACTATCGTTAAACTTTATCAGTCAACTGAAATCTCACTGCCAAGAAGTGAAGTGAATGGAAGTCATTCTAGTTGTGTTACATTGTAATGTCTGCATGGTTCTGAGTACTAAAGTGTTTCCTGACGCACTCGAGGCATGAGAAAAATTTCACGGCACACCACCATACAAAAATATCACAAAAATATGTTTTGCTTTACTCACAAATGTAAATCGTGTGTACGTGCCATGACTTGTTCTGTAATATGAATGAAGACAACTGGATACACAGTTTTGTGGATGTGCATTTAAAGTCCATGTAAAGCGAAAATATGATTTGTAAATTCAACACACCACAGAGAAGAGTGCAGTTCACAACCGTGCCAAATTTGAATAATTTAAAAAGGATATAAAATGGGCTTCAACATGGTGAAAAAGCAAGCTGTTCGTTCTGCTGAATGCGCTGAAACCACATCCCACTTAACGCCCCACTGTGTCAAATGCCAATAAAATTCCATTAGACCTGAAAAGCAAAGCAGGATCCTTCTTCATCTGGTATCTTTCTCATGCCTGTGTATAACTACGTATATGTTTAAGCCAAAAAAATATATTCGATTAAAGCCTCCGATTGCTGGAATGTATCCCACTAAGCCGGTATCGGAGCTTTTCTACACTGTAACAATGAGGCGCTCTAAAGTGGCCAACCCAGCACAAAGGCCCTGTCCACATATTGGCTATGAGAGTGGATTTAAAAAAAATCCCCCTCCCCCCCTGATCTTCTGCCTTTCTCGATTTGACATGAGACACTCTAAAGTGGCCATGTCAGTGTGAAGCACAACTGAGTACTACCCTGTTCTCAGGCTATACACGTTTCCAGCAGTTCGCTTCAAAAATGGATCATGTATTTCGAAACACATCTCTGAATTCACTTTACAAGGCCTGTTATTGTTCTACTTGTTATATATATAGGTTGCTGTGTTAGACAGATAAACAAAGGTACATCATTCGTCGTAAATGAACAGTTTTCCAACCAATGAGGTGAAACTGCATAGGTTCCCGCCACACACCTGATGATCTCTGACAGCTCGCCGATGTGCCGCCAAACAGTGGTTTGCAATCACTGGTCTATAATTTCTGCCATCCCCCTCCTTTCGTGTCTGGCCAGGGACTTACTGTACATGGACAACTCGCACACTGTTTCCACTCGTAAGCGTAATCACATGCCGGCAGCCTTAAGAAAGCACTTATCTATCTTATCTACTTAACCAATATAGCATCACTGTGACTTCCTGCCTCCGGGAGGATCCACTCATGTCGCAATAAAGCCCACCTGAGGTGACACCCGCTTTGCCACTCCTCTCTGCTTGCATAAGCAACAATAGCATTGGAATGTTTCACCATTTCCACTTGGTACTGTATGCGATTGACTGAGTTGCATTGCAACTTCAAGCGACCGGCCGTCTGCAAGCTTTAGCCGATTGCGTTCTGCATTTCGGACTGTTGTGACGGCTTCCCAGACCTGCTTGTCTCTCCATGGGACCGCTACCTGGGGTCGAGCAAAGGGTTAACTCTGGGTGTTCCCCTTCCCCCTAGCTCCCTCCCCGGCAGATAATCTCTCTACTCTCTCCTCCCACCACTCCTGAGGAGCTCTGGAGGGAGTAAAGCATTGTAATTATTCACAGCAAAAGTGTGACAACGGATAGCCGGAGCTCACCAATTTTTATGCAGTTCATTTCCAGGACGTTTTGTGGGGGTTTCTGCGCGTGTGAAAAGAAGGCCAGCCGTGCTGTTTGACACTTGGGTGAGTAACTCCTTGTGAGAGAAGTGTGTACATTTTGAAGGAGGGAGTGGAGGCAGTAACTGCCAATAGTGAGCCGCTCTTGCATCAGACAGCACCATGTGGTGAGCGATGCTGAACAAGGAGAATTTATCAGAATTCTTCCCCTATTCCAATTCATTCATTTGAAGACAATTTCATGGATCTTGGATTTGAAAATGTTAAATAATGTAAACATTCTACACAAACGAAATTATTAGGCCTTTGTAAAATAAATATATATATATATATATATATATATATATACATAGTTCCTTTTATTTGAGGCAAATTTGACCCCGTTCAATGTTTAGCCTCCCTAAAGATATGGTTTACATCTTCTTTTGCTTCATTGTTCACGTTTGCTGATTTGATGAGGACAACAAAATTAACATGGTGACATGTTAGAAATGTCTTTTACATGTTTCATGTATCAGTGTCCTTTTGAAAATATCAGTAGAGTATTTTTCACACATTTGCTGTCTCTGTTGGGGCGGGGGTGATATTGAGGTCACTAAAACATATCATCTAATGTTATTAAAAAACTTTAACACAAACATGAGTGTAGTAGTGTGAGAAATAAATCTAGTTCACATGTCACTTGACCGCTTCTCAATCATTTGTTGTGCTGTTTGCTAGCTTTTTGCTGAAAATGACTTTCGCAAAGGCTTTTTTTCTCAGTGAAGGGCTGTCACATCTATTGGACTACAGAATTGACATTTGCGTCCGATAAAAAGGCATCCTCCTCTGATGACAATGATTACCTCAGAGTTGGAACCTCAGTCCACCCCACTCCAACAGTTAGTTCACTACTTTCCCAAAATTGGAATTGTTGTCCATTCACCCCACTTGAACTGCAGGCTGGATTTATATAATCAAAATGGTTGCTGATATGCTGTCCAAGATGTCAAGTCATCTTTTGAGCTGATCAGTCGACAAGACTGTGACTCGAGAAGTCTTTAGAGGGACGTGTATGGGAACAGTTGAAAAAACGTGGGTGTGATCTCCTCGCAAGCCTAAATTGGGTTGCTCATTTTGGAAGCGGTTTACAAATCAAGGGGCAAGGTAACAGCAAAGCTTTGGGCTGCTAAACCAGGAAGGGCAATATTTCAAGCAACCGTGTCGCTCAGCATATCCCCACTACACAGGGGAAAATATCTTGCATGTATACATAGCCCTTAAAATTGCATCGGGAAATCCCTGATATAATGGAATTAATGTACTTTTTCGTAAGGTTATACAGTGGTCCTTCGTTTACCAGGGGATTACATTCCAAACTATCCCTACGACAGACAGAAATCTGCAAAGTATATGCACTGTGTATATCTTCTGAAGCGTTGTGCATAACACCAATACAACATGCACATCAGATGCATATATTATTTTTGTCCGCTTGGGATCACCATCCTCACGTTCTACAGTCGGGTATCTGTAGCTGTGACTGAATGCGTGTAGCTTAAAAAGGCAGGGCCAGGTCTGTTGGGTCAAGTCGGAGTCAGCGAATGAGTGTTTTGACTTCGCTGGCTAAATGGTTAGCCACTCTGCGTTGCGTTAAACCGCAAAATGTCAACTGTGAGACATGATGATAGATAATTACATGTCCAAATTCTTCTAACGTTCTATCGTGCTTGGGAAAAATGGATTTATAATCACTTTCTGAAGGTTTAAATTGTTGGGGTTAAATTGACCCTAAAGATAAAAAAAATGTTGGTTTAAATGAAAAGGTAACAGGAGCCAAACCTGATGTGAAAAGGGAGTTTCAAGTCAACCAGGCTTCCCCAGATTGTTATTATCCGGAGCCTGGATGCATTCCACTCATCTGTGCTTTCGCAGATGTGTCATCCCACTTTTCAAAAAAAGAGGCTGGAGCACAACTGAACAGCTAAAATAACAGTGTTCACACAAGAAGCCTTTGAGTGCGTGGGCCCGCTTTAGGGCTCATTCTACGTCAGTAGTCCTCTTGTGTGACGCGTGTGGGAATGGAGCAGGAAAAAGTCTTTGGAATGTCACATAGTGTTGGATCAGTGTGTCCTTGGGGTCACATGCAAGAATCTCAAGGGTGTGTGGGTGACCTGCGGAAAGGGGTGGGATCTCATGACCCAGTGGCACGAGTGCAGACCTTCACTCTTCAGTCCTCGCATCACGTTCATCATTTGACCCCACAGCACAGTCAGCTCGTTGGCAGTGTGCATGTCCCGAGACTGCTCAACTCAAGTCACATTGTTTTTGTGTTGTTGTTTGTTTCATATGTGCATTAGTTGTCATTTATACCAGCACAAGTAGCTCTTTTTATACACATCATTCCTCAAGTGCTCGGTTTTTATGATACAAAAAGAGACCGAGTTAAATTATTGACAAACTTTTATACCTGGATTTCTGAACTGAGAAAAGACATCTTTTTGAAAGGGGAATTAAGTGTGCCTCCCTCCTTAAAACTGAGGATGTGGCTGTGTTCAGAAATAACCAATCACATTCGAACTCGTTTCAGGTGAGAGTCAACACACATCAACAATCATATAAAGTGCCTCTATTAACCCCACATTGACTTCAGATGTTCTAGGACAGGGATCGGAAACCCAAAATGTTGAAAATGCCATATTGGACCAAAATAAACAAAAAACAAATATGTCTGGAGTCGCAAAAAATAAAAAGCCTTATAATGAAGGCAACACATGCTGTATGTATCGATATGAGCTATATTAGCCTGCTATCCACATGACTAAGTTGGCTACAAATACACAACAAGCATTCATGATTAAAAGGTTTTTTTTCCCCCTGCAATTCATCCTGCAGAGGAGGGGTGCCCAAACTTTTTTGACAGATCTACTTTTCGAACAACCATCATCCCGCGATCGACCCGTTACCTCACACGCATGCATACGCCCACACTTACACACGCATGCCGTAATGAGCAACAGCCATAACGGCCGCTAAGATGAACGAGGCACGGGACGCACTTTCACAGCGTGCTACCTATCGTAGCTCACGTGTACCATTTTAAAATGCTTCTCTTGGCCGCCCAGATTCCCATTCTTGGCAAGTACCCTCGGTGAATTGTACATGAAAGGCAGCTGTTTTGTTTTTTTTTTTGTTTTTTTTTTTACAACAGCCCCCTGACTGACATCCCGCTCTGCTAATAGAAACGAGTGTCGCAGGCCATGACGCAAATATTTATTGATGTAATGTTGACATTTAATATTTATTCGACACATTTTTACAGCATCGGAAAACGTTAATAATGTTTGTGTCATGTTTGTCCTCTGACAGAAACCATATTCAAACAAAAAATATATTTCCCTCCCATCTTTTTCCACTTTCAAACATTTTTGAAAAAGCTCTAGGGAGCCACTGGGGGTTGGGGGGCACTAAATAGCCGCATGCGGCTCGAGAGCCGCGTGTTGCCGACCCCCGTTCTCGGAGGAGGAAGTCGCTGATGGTTTAGTGGTACACTTGCCTGACTTGGGTGCGGGCAGCATGGGATCGGTTTCCACTCAGTGACGGTGTGGTTGTGGGTGTGAATGGTTGTTCATCTCTATAAGTGCCCTGCGATTGACTGGCGACCAGTTCAGGCTGTAGTCCGCCTTTCATCTGTAGTCAGCTGGGATAGGCTCCAGAACCCCCCACGGCCCTATCCAGGATAAACTGTGCTGAAAATGCTTCGCAGTGCAGAGGTGGTGGGTTCGAATCCGGCCCCGGCCTTTCTGCGTGGAGTTTGTATGCTCTCCCTGTGCCTTCACGGGTTTTCACCGTGTACTCCATATTCCAAAAACAAGCATGGTAGGTTAATTGATCACTGTAAAATTTCCATAGTGTGATTGTGATTGCAAATGGTTGATGGTCTATGTGTGTAGGGTGTACTCCACTTGCTGCCCCCAAGGCTCCATCCTGCCCGCGACCCTCACGAGGATAAAGCGGTTCAGACAATGAATGGCTGCATGGATGTCCTTGTAGGCTTTTCTGGATATTTTTTTTGTGGGGACAGTGGTTCTAGTAGAGTCCTGAAGGTGGTAGCATTATGCTTTGGTGCTGTTTTTCTTCAGCTGGAACTGGGTTTTTACACAAGGTGGAAAGAATTGTGAACTGTTCGAAGTAGCAGTCAGTGTTAGACCCCCCCCCCCCTCCCAAAATCACGCTTCTGCTAGAAAACAAACAAAAAAAATGCTTGAAACAGCCTCCTAGAACTCCTGGATATGCTTTGGGAAGAACATAGATTAAGACTGCATCTACTTTATATGGGGTTTGCAGGAAGTATTCTAAATTAAATGTGTCTACTTTTTTCCACTTACAGTTTGAAGAGGAATTATTCAGTACAGCAAGTCCAGTGTATCAGAATGGAGCTTCAGAAATTGAACGGACACAGTCGAGAAGATGGGTGAGATTTATAAATGCTGTTTTTAATGGCAGAAACACCTTTTAGAGAGCAAACCCACATCATTGTTGACAGGTTTATGACATGCTGAAACAAGAACATAAGAGGCAGTTTCTTGCTCAAGAAGCTGTTGTTTTCATCAGATTTCTCTTCTTGCATCTGCTTCTACAGTACTTCTTTTTGGGAGAAAATAAAATTGCAAAATGAAGCGCTTTTATGTCATAAAATAACCTCTCAATACTAACCATGATACTAACTTGCTACTAAGGGGACGAAAAACATTTTTGGACACATGTGGACAGGGCCTCGAGCAAATGTGACCACACCAGTCTGGATAATCAAGTCTTGGGCGTTTCTAGTCACATGCTACATGCATTCTTGATTGTCCTACTCCTAAAACCTTTCCATAAAAGGACACTCTTATTTGTTTCCCAGAAAATTATAAAGACATTTTATATACTGTACACAAATATATAAATTTATATACTGTACACAAATGCATAAAGTACAGGAAGTCATGAAGAAATCCAACCATTTTGTTTTCATTTTGTTCCTGCGTGATTCCCTACCTTTACTGAGGCAAGGCACATTTTTGACGTGAGAAAAATCTCACAACACATAACCAAACAAAATGCCACAAAAACTATGCATACTGAAATAGGATCTTGTCTCTCTTTTCTCACAAATGGACGTTGTTTAAAATGCGGGCCTGTTTAGTTGAACACAAAGCAATTACTTTGTCATACTACCCGTTGGATACACAGATTCTTTGAACCTTCTACCGTCGAGTGGAAGAGCACTCATTTGCGCTGCCTGTAGCCATACATAGATGATATATTATTTGTAGAGAATAACTCTTTTTTTATTCAATTAAGTGGAAAAAATGAAACAAGCCAACAAATAATGTTATAAGACTAAATTAGCCAGTAATACTAACTAGTTCAGCTAGCAGCTAAATTAGCCAACTCGGCAAAAAAGCAATATTAGCTCGTTAATTAACTATCTCAGCTAAACAATTTAGCTAACATTAGCCAGGTGAGCTCACCAGTCAAGTTGGCTTCCAAATCGAAATACATTTGATCAATTCTTCGTTTAAATTGTACATGGTCACTGGTTCATGAACCCAAAAGTTAAACATTTTCATCCATTTGTCTGTAGTATAGTTAAGATTATTGCTAATGAATCACACAAGGAGAAGAGAGATTCTACTGATTTTCAGGAGTGGCATTTGTGAGCATGAGCGAGTTGGACAATTGTTAAGTATTTCACTCAATCATAACTTGAATGTGTTTTGTCTACCACGCAACTGACCGAGAGGCAACTGTGCCACATACAGCTCACAGTCAGCGTTTCAAGAATGAAGGCAACATACATAAATGTAACCCATCCGTTGAATAAGACACATATTTTATTAACTATGGGTTACATTAACACACGTGAATGACAATGATTAATGCCATTATTGCGGCAATAATTCTGCATTTACGTGACCTACCGCTCGCTGGGAACAATGTAGCTTCACCATTGCTGCAGAATTAAGAGGCATATTGTTCAGTGTTCTTAAGTCAAACAAGGTGTGCTTATTAAAAAGTGAAAACATAAAAACACACACTCCTTCAATGTAGCCTGGAAATGAGCTGCACACACGTCACTGGCGATAACTTCCGGAGCCACAATGTGTGGCATGTTTTCAAAGTGGAACTCTATGGAATTCACGTCTAATGAAAACATTCCGGAAGTTGGAGCCACCCTCAGACTTGATTGAGCCGCGCCTCTTTGGTGGTTGCGCACAAATTTCAAGGTTACGCTTGGTGGGTGTGTCACTGCAAGAAAAGTGCGTAAGGAATTGACTTAAGTGCAAATGAGAGAATATGCCCGTCACACATCAGTGATGAGTGATTTGTCTTTCCACCATATTGCAAGACAATTTATGAATAAAACTAAACTCCATTCCATTTTCTGTAATTTGTTTATTAATGCAGCAATGCAGATTGACAACAGAAGTGTGTAAAATGATGGTGTCAAAGTTGTACATACACATATAATGTTTGTTTTGCTCCATGACAAAACATATTATATAGGAACACTAATTTGTGTTCTCGCCAAATTTCCTTCCAAATGCCTAAGATCACAAAAAAAAAAAAAAAAGCCGAGTTGACAAATAAAACGTTGAAGAGAAGTTAAATCAAGGCAACCAGATGTCACTGCTGTGTAATTATTGGATTAGCATAACCTAAATGACTGACAATTTACACAGAGACATAGAAAGGAAGTTGCACAAAGAGCGAAAGCTCAACCCAAAGCAAACATAAACCCATTGATACCGGTCGTAAAAGCTCTTCCATGGGTCCGCTTACAAGATGTAGTTTTGTTTAATTTATGTTCGACATGTGCTTTATTTACATTGTAGCTTTGATGGACTGGATGCCATGGCTGAACATGAGGAATTTCTCCCGCATAAAGGTGGTGCTAAAAAAGAAACCCACTTCACAGATGTAAGTTGTTGTTTTTTTGTTTTTGTTTTTTATTAACTCTCTCACTTGTTGATACTCTTCATCGACCATGTCGCTCATTCACTCATCTGTCTTTCTGGTTCAGTTCGAAGGGAAGACTTCATTCGGGATGTCCATTTTCAACCTCAGTAATGCCATCATGGGCAGCGGAATTCTGGGATTGGCTTTTGCCATGTCCAACACTGGAATCCTTCTTTTTATGTGAGTTTGGTCGTTAAATGATCAGTGTGGTTCTCTCTCCTGATTTTTGTTTGTTACTCTGCACATGGGATTCACATGACCTCCCACTGAACATTCGGCAAGCCTCCTCGCTGCCCATCTTCAAAACCCGCCTCAAAACTCACTTGTATTCGTTCGCATTTAACTCAGCATGACTTAGATTTGTTCTTGGTTTTGCTGTTCGGTGCTTTCTACCGTCTTTATTGCCGATTTGCTTTACTGTTTGTTGTATATGTTAAATTGGTCCATGTACAGCACTTTGTATGCAGCGATGGCTGTTTGAAAGTGCTCTATAAATACAGTTGAGTTGAGTTGAGTTGAGTTGAGTTGAGGGATATGCATGTCAACGCCATCAACCAGGGCTGGGAAATTAACTCAAATGTAATTAGAATGTCAATCCTGGCTTCTCACAAGCATAAAAACACTATTATCAAGGAAAACGATAAATGTATCGAGCGGTGAAGTGTTGCTGCGAATGCACGGTAAAAGTATATCCACTGTGTATATCTTCTGAAGCCAGTGTGTGACGAATGCTATTCTGCGCACCCGAAGGATACTTTAAGCTATTTGTTGATACCTCAGCTTGAGTTTATTGTAAAACCAATTACACAATAAAAAGAATTACACCCACTGTCTATTTAAATAGTTGATTTTAGTTACATCACCAGCTTACCGCTAGTACTCACTGGAAAACCCTGTTGATCGACAAGCACCGATTAGCATTGGACTTCACGGGAAGGATTTATCTTCAAATCACGAATTGTCACACACAAATGCTGTATTATTATATATGGACAGGTAATATAACAAGTCAAGTCAACTTCATTGTCAAATGTGCTCTATGTGCAGCATACAGAACAGATGAAATTTCTTTCCTCTCAACCACAGGAGAGAGAGGAGCCGCTGCGGGTACCCGCGCCGCCATCAACAGAACAGTTAACATAAAATGACAAAAAAATACAACACAACACACAAGAAACAGGCAGTCATGCAATCGTAACCACTTTTCTGCATACTCGTTGTTTGAAGCAGTTATAGATGAAAGAGGAGAGAATCAAAGTGTCCTTTCGGCAGTGATCAGAGAGGTCACGCTGAAAATGTGCACACCAGGGGCGTCACTAGGTTTCAAGAACAAGGGGGACTTAGCCCCAAGGGGAACACAGCCCCTTTAGGGGGGTCCGGGGGCATGCCCCCCCGGGAGAAATTTTTTCTACATTCTGTTAAAAATCCATCAATTCCGTGCACTTTGAGAGCAAAATGAAGAGGCTATGAAGAACTACACACATCACATTAGTATCCTCTTTACTATGATGGGGCTTCCTCCCCTGGACTTTAACTGGACTAGATAATAGAAATTATAAAGAGTTCAAAAGTTCAATCTTGGTTGTTCAAGGGAATTAGAAGGATGCCCGATAACATAACCTATATGACAGTAGTCCTATATTCCTCTCTACCAAAATGTATTAACATATGCTAAGCCCCCAGAAGACTATGTATTTTGAGATGTCTGCCGTGATATGCAATTTAAGTTAGTACAATGAGATGCAAAAGCTTCATCACTTTGGAAAAACACAAGTTTGCTGCTCAATACTTAATGTAAGCTCCGATTGCATTTTGGGAACAGCCTTGCAAGTAAAATTAGCCTTGAGATCTGATAGACTCACCTGTCCTGCAGAGCTCCCCCAAGGCCCACTCTCTGTGCGTCTTTAGCCTGATTCCTATCAAATAAATACATTTATTTATTTTATATTTATTTATTTTATTTTATATAGGCCAAAATCTCAATAGGTGTTGCCTCAAAGAGTTGGTGTAATGATTATTTATGTATTTAATTATAAAATGTTGCTTAATTTTTATTAAGCACCACCTTAATTTATCCAAAAGTGAACACTTGTTACAGTGCAGTTTCTGCTGTTACTGGAGATATTTTAGCGGACTATAGTCACTAGTTTTACCAGCATGGATGCATTGAATACTTAATTTACCTTTCTAAAAAACTGTCGAATATCCATGCTGTCGACTCAACCTGACTTTCGGCAATGAACTGTCAGTTGTTGCGTTAGCATTTGATGTGGCGATGGTGACAGACACGTCAAATGCTAACGCAACACCTGTTGCGTTCAGGAAACCTGGGAGATTTAACATTACAATAATGGCAGGTTATCGAAATATCATTTAAAATGGCCACATTACATTGAATTTGATGCAATATATTTGCAAAAGTACAGGAAAAATAAATAATATATATTTTTAAATAATGCAATGAAATTATTTAGGGGTGCTAAAGACATTTTTAGGGAGGCTGAAGCCTCCCTAAAATAGGCCTAATGACGCCCATGGTGCACACGTCTGCTACAAGCTACATTTGAAAGCAAACAAGAAGCTGTAGCGTCCATTGACGAAAAAGAGATTGGCTCACATGTCCAGTCTCATGTAAATCCGCTTCAATTCCAATGATCCTGAGCATATATTTTTTTCTCATCGGTGGAACTTTTTTTTTTTTTTTTAGAAATTTTGCCAATTTCTTCTACCGATACTCTTTTTATCTTCATGCATGTCAGGGGTCTCAAACTCAATTTACATGCGGCCGCTGGAGATTGAGTTTGTGTGTGTCTGGGCTGCATCAAGTATTCCACAAGAAAGGGTTTCAAGTATTCAAAAAAGTACAACTAATCCAATCTTCTGAATCTCTAATGATAACAATTTGGAACATTAACGGTTGAACAAGACTGGGGACCTGGTCCTCTTTCTCATCTCTCTGCTGCTTTGCATACTCCTGAGCAGTGCAACTTTCTCCGTACATTCAAGACATGGCGGGGTGCTCCATTGCTCGGCAAAAAAATCATTCCGTCGCCTGTTTTTTTTTTTAAATTGGCTGTTCACGTCTCAGATCTTTTTCTTCATGGCAGATTTTGAAAAAAGACATGACTGGGACTCCACTTGATTTCGCTTCAAACTGACATTTCATCAAATGCTGTCATCAACCTGAGCTACAGTAGCCCATAAGTGATTTAAAAACAAAACAAAACACCCAGGGCAATAACACAGCAAAAAAGGTGGGGGCAGCAGGAACATTAAACTTTGATGTCAATTTGGGAGATCCCGTGGGCCACAAATGGCCCCTGGCTGTGAGTTTAAGACCCCTCATGTAAGGCTATGTTCACATTGTAGCTCAATTCCATCCTTGCATCCATTTTCAACACCGCTTATCTCGAACAGGGTCGCGAAGCGTTGCTGGAACCTATCCCAGTTGACGTCGGGCGGAAGGCAGACTACACCCTGAACTGGTCCCCAGTCAGTCGCAAGGGCACATATAGAGACAAACGACCATTCACACCCACATTCACACCACCACTGAGTGGGAACTGATCCCACGCTGCCCGCAAACAAGTACCTCAATTCCGATTTTTTTTTTTTGCCCTTGTGTGACACATATCAGATATTTGCCCATGCAACAAAACCAATATGATTTTTTTTTCTAATCCAGTGTATTTGCACGCACGCATCACATTGCCCCTAAGAGGCCCAAATGCGCACAGCAGGAAAGTATTCTTATATCATTTTTTTAAATTGCTATACATACTTTTTACTAACTTACATTTTGGTTGTGGTGATTCGTTTTTGGCTGGTTTGATTTCAGTATCAATCCAAAATAATCGCAAAGATATATTTTTCCTAACATTGCCCAGCCCTACTATCAACCTCCGTCCCCTTTGCTCATCTACTCACATCTTTGAGGAGTTGCAACAACTGTGGTTCCAAGTTAACACTCGCAATTGACACGAGGCTTTGAATTAGCAGAGAAGATGCACCATCTGTGAGTGTGTTCACTGTTCACACTTGCTTGACAAAAAGTGATTGTCTTTCCGTAGGTAGCGTACGGGTAAAGTGTATACAGGTTTTGCAGCATGTACAATAACTTGATCTGTCAGGGTGTACCCTGGAACAATTTTATCGAACAATGAGTTCTAATAGACTCACACACACACACACACACACGCGCACACACGCACACACACACACACACACACACACACACACACAGAGCTTCTGTAAACCAGATTTAAGAAGTTAAATTTAGCCTGCAGTGATCAGACTCAAGACACGCTTGCCTGGATCAGACGTGCGCTTTCCCGTGTTGAGGAGGGAGGGAAGGAACGAGCGTTGTCCAGCGTGAATGCACAGGATAGTTGTTGTGAAATAGCATTGTTTTCTTCTTTTTTCATATCTAAGTGTCAACCTTTTAACTTCCTTAACACATTTTCACGCGTCTTTGGGAGATTTTGCTTTGATCCGTTAAAAACAATAAGTTCTAATGGGATGTTCAAATTTAGGTAGCATATTGTCTGAGTTGTTCATTTTTGCTTCTCTTCCCTGAAATATACAGTCGTTGGTTTTTTTTTTCCCAATTGAATTGTACAGGCTATTTAGGTGACATAAATAGTGGGAAAAGTTTGGTTTATATTGGTCTCATTTTCTTATACCACTAAACAGGGCATTTCAAAAGGGGTGTACATTTTATATCCACTGTATTGGATACCCTGAACAGGTTGCCAGCCAATCGCAGGGCACACATAGACATACAACCATTTGCGCTCACAATCATACATACATATGGGATAGTTTAGCTTGTTCCATTAACCTGCCATGGATGTTTTTGGAATGTGGGAGGAAACCGGAATACCCAGAGAAAACCCATGCAGGCACGGGGAGAACATGCAAACTCCACGCAGGAAAGCTGGAGCTAGAATCGAACCCTGCACCTCTGCACTGTGAGGCGAATGTGCGAACCAGCCGGCCCTCACTATATATCAGTTAAACATAGTCACTACACTGGATGATCATGAGTCATCCTATATGCTGCCATACCCTGGTTCGTTGTTGTTTTTTGTTTGTTGTTTTGTTTTTAACTCCGAGCATCTCTGAGAACAAAGGGTAAGGATTGTGATTGTCCTTCCTTTTGCCACACGTCATTGTTTTGAGGACTTTTCTGTACTTCATTTCCTCCATTTGCCATATAAATAGCCACTCCAAATTAGGCCACGTTTTGAACAAGTACGATCTTACCTACATATTGCATGTAGTGTTAACAAATAAAACAATTTACTTTTTTGTATGTTTCAGAATTCTGTTGGTGTTCATTGCTATTCTGTCCGCGTATTCAATCCACCTACTGCTGAAAAGTGCGGGAGTTGTTGGTAAGAGGAGTTATGCTCAATTTATGAAACGCTATATTGGACAGCAGGGGTCCAAATTTATCTTATTTGCATGCATTGCCCTACTTACTTTCCGTTCCTTCTCGTTTCTCACTTTCTTGTCTTCCACTAATCATACATCACTAAAATAGTAACGGCATTTCCATTTATAACAGCCTGATAAATAAAGATGTTTCCGTTATAGCAGCAAAAACCATGAATGGCGATTGTTTCTTCCACTTTCTAATCTAGGTCAAGCAGGGTTGTAATGGTTTAGGATTTTTCCATCCTTCCATCGATCTCGAGCCTATCCCAGCTGTCTTCGGGCAGTTGGCGGGGGACACCCTGAACTGGTTGCCAGCCAACCGCAGGGCACACACCGACAAAAAAAAAAAAAAAACATTTACATCTAGGGACAAATTAGAGTGTTCCGTTAACCTTCCATGCATGTTTTTGGAATGTGGGAGGAAACCAAAGTACCCAGAGAAAACCCACGCAGGCATGGGAAGAAAATGCACACTGCACACAGGAAGGCTGGAGCCAAAATTGAACTCTCCGCCTCTGTACTGTGAGGCAGACGTGCTAAACACCGGGCTACCTTTTACATTCTAATAATTTTTTAATCCATTTTTACTTCTTTTTTTTTTTTTTTTAATTCGGTGAGTATTAATTTGTTTTAGATCAAGGTGCACATCAGACCGATAATTATCACCCAATGCTGGGGAAAACATCGTCGCATTCATCTTCCTCTAAATAAAAATGAACCAATAAAAACAGCCGGTTGAAAAACACGAACGGCAGTCCACTTACTGTCATTTTAAGCGCCGAGCTACTGCTGCATGATGTAGAGTAGGTGGTAATATGGAGCCCCTGTGCGCGGCTTCAGAAGTGAGCCATTTGTAACACGCCTTTATTTTTCCCATAGCATGTTTTAAAATTTTTTTTTTTTTTTGCTCCCTGTGGTATCTCACTGAACGCCAAAGCCTTGCGACAAAACTCATTTTTACGTAAAATACAACGCTGCAGACTGCTTTTTTCTTTCTTATTGAAAGTTGTGTTGCAAAAAATTGGGGTTGGTGTTTGTCTGTGAGAAAAACATCCCTGCTGTACGAACTAGTTTTAGGGCGGCACTGCTAAGGTTTGGGTCTTTTCAGGCATCCGGGCATATGAGCAGCTTGGGAACAGAGCTTTTGGCCCACCTGGAAAAATTCTGGCGGGGAGCATCATCACAATACACAACATTGGAGGTAAAATGAGATTATTTGTGGTCTTTCGCTATGAAAATTGAAGGTTGTACTGAGTGTACTGAGCATGTTTGTTTTTTTTCTCAGCAATGTCCAGCTATCTCTTCATTGTCAAGTCCGAGCTCCCGCTGGTTATTCAGGCTTTTCTTGGCAAATACGAAAACACGGGGTGAGTGTCAAATATCATCATTTGACTTCATTGGCAGCTTAGTAGATTTGTGCACTGATTTTTTATTTATTTTTTTGGTATGGTCTCAGAGACTGGTTCTTGAACGGAAACTACTTGATCATCATTGTTAGTGCTGCCATCATCCTTCCTCTTGCACTCATGAAACAACTTGGTATGATATCTCATCCTGTCATCACATTCCCTCCCCTCATCCCTGTTCACTTTCTCACCTACCCAGAAATTGCACTGCGTTTGTCATTATCATCAATGTTCATGTTCAGTCATGTGTTCCACTTCAGGTTATCTGGGATATACTAGTGGCTTCTCGCTTTCTTGCATGGTGTTTTTCCTCATTTCGGTGAGTCTGTTTGAAACAAATCTCGTATTAATTTTCAATCCAAATGTGTCACATCTGACACAATGAAGAAATGGTTGTGCACTCCCGATTCCTCTTCCAGGTAATCTATAAGAAATTCAACATCCCTTGTCCGCTGGCGGATAGTCAGCACAACATCACCCTCATGGCCGACAATGACACAGTCACTGAAGATCTGGAAGACTTTTGCCACGCCGAACTTTTGACCATCAACTCACAGGTGAGACCACAATGTGTTTCTCACCACTCGCTCTTCTTCAATTGTCACTACAAGTTCTTATTCTCCAGTCAGATGAGCAGACTCTGTCACTAACCCGTTGCATGACTGGCTTTTAGACGGCATACACCATCCCAATTCTGGCCTTTGCATTTGTCTGCCACCCCGAAGTGCTGCCCATCTACACAGAGCTACGAGAGTAAGTCATGCTTTATACGGAGGAAGCTTGGTTTTCGTGCGTCCCAGTTTTCAGAACATTTGCCTATTTCATCCCACTTTTGGTTCATCCACTCAGTTTTCAGACAAAAATCCCCGAATTTTTGAGGATTGCGTACCCACGGAAATCATCCCGTTCAACATTGTTGTGTCACTTCTCAGTGAGTTAGCCTCAAGCCAAGCATCAATTTGATCATTTCAAAGTTTTTCTGTAACTGTTGCACCTGATTCACTCAGCGGCCAAAGAAATGCGTAAACGTGTTAAGTGTTTCCTGAGAATAAGTGAAAAATAGCGTGTTCGCCCAAGAGCACCGATGAACGAGACACAATTCTATGACCGTAATGCAATACAGGTAAATGTTTGTGGCAAGCACATACGCCAGAGGTAACATTGATGTCAACCACTCGAGCACAAGCAAGGCTAATTTGTCTGAGTAATTCTGAAAGAGGTAAAGCAGAGAGTTATGACTGGATTTCCAAATTCCCAACGTCAGAGCCAATCATTGCAGCTACAGTAGGCTTCACCTGTGACTTCTTGTCACAGAAGAAGGTGGTAAAGACAAGGAGTGAAGGAAATTGCTTTGTTGTTTTAAGTAATTAGCCTTCCCAGTCCATAGATGGCTGCAATATGCCTTCTTCTTCTTGATTTGTTTTGAAAGTTGGCAATAGTTTTGAGAGTGTGCTCCCGACACCTACATGACTTAAGTGGAACAGCAAGGACGGTTTTTCCAGGTGTGTGTGTATGTCTGTTCTTGCACCAAAACGTACAGTACGTTGCCGTTTTTAATTCACATTTATTCCATCATTAATGAGTCTCAACTTATTGTATTTTCCCACAGAGAATGCTAAAATGAGGGGTGGGGGCAAATACAATTAACTGTTATCTTTTTGTCTCCAGTGCCACCAAGAAGCGTATGCAGAATGTTGCCAACATTTCCATCTTGGCCATGTTCGTCATGTACCTGCTGACGGCACTTTTTGGGTACCTCACCTTCTACGGTAAGACTGAAAGACTCTTATGCTGCATGTGAACGAGACGTGTTTAAATGAATCACCTGCTTGTTGTTCTCCTTAAAACGGCTTATACATTTTGCAGTGTGATGAATAAAGTGCAAGACTGAGCAGGACGTCAAAGCTTTGTTTGCTTTTCTTTCTCTAGGTGCTGTGGAGTCTGAACTGTTGCACACCTACATCCGTGTGGACCCCCTCGACGTGCTGATCCTTTGTGTGCGCCTGGCCGTGCTCGTGGCTGTCACGTTGACTGTCCCTGTAGTTCTCTTCCCGGTGAGAGTTGTGTCATATTTTTTTTTTAACCTAACTATTATTCCCAACTATCCCGCTTTATTAGTAGCTTAGATTTTGAAATGAAAAGTGTTTGATAAAACAATTTCTTGACTCTGGTGTTTTGCACCATAGACCACACATAGAAAACCCAGGAAAGAAAAAGTCTACCTTCAGCTTTAGGAACACATTCTGTGGACTATTGTCTATTAAAATTTGAGTCAAAAAAAGAGGGCAAAGAAATGAGCCATGAGGCACTCCACATCTTTTACCAGGAGGCATAACTCATCAATACAATTTGGGGAAATCAAAATGTAATCAATGTGGGTGGCAACACCTCTTTTTTTTTTTTAAACCGCTTGACCACTTTTCATCTAATACTGTGAATGAATGTGGAAATACCAACGAGGTATAAGGCACTGATATCACAGTCTACATGGAAATCCCGGGAACATGTACTTTCCTTGAGACTTGACAAGGTCTTTGAAATCTGTAAAAAAAATAATAAATAAATAAATAAATAATAAAGCACACTTTAAATTTGAAAATTGCTTACACCAGTGGATGTGTAGACAGCCAGTAGCAAAATGCAGCTAGATTTTGAAAGAGAACAGTTTTGTTTTTGTTTTTTTACTTCTGTAAAAGCTAAAGCCTATTTTCTCAGTCTGATCTGGAAGCCTCATTCTATACACAAAACATTTTTAAACATTCAAATTTGGCAGTGCTGTTAACACTTTTCTCTGCATTTTTACTTGATAGGGTTTTATGAGAACATGTATTCATTCCACTGTGCTTGACATCCATTTACTATTAGGCTTCACACTGTTGTTGTTGGCAGTTGTTGGGATAAATCCAAGGTGACTCATTCCTCCAGCTGTGTGCAACCCGAATCATGACATACTTTATGCTCCCTTTTCCTCCTTCCCACTGTAGATCCGCCGAGCCGTACTTCAGATCTTGTGCCCTGACAAGCCTTTCCACTGGGCCAGACACATTTCCATTGCGTTGTTCCTCCTCATTCTGGTCAACCTGCTCGTCATCTTCGTGCCCTCCATCCGTGACATTTTTGGACTCATCGGTATGTGTTTGCTCTCCATTGTAGCCTCGGCTTCTGACGTTCTTACTGAATGGGCTCTCCTAATTACTCCACAGGAGCCACATCGGCCCCCAGCCTCATCTTCATCCTGCCTGGAATTTTCTATATACGAATCGTTCCTGCAGAACAAGAACCTTTTCTGTCCAGACCCAAAATTCAGGTAGCGCTCATTGCTGTCGTACACAATGTTGGATTGCTGGTCCCCTCATTTCATGCAGCACTGTTTTGTCCTATAGGCTGCATGCTTTGCTGCATTGGGATTCGTCTTCATGGTTGTGAGTTTGTCATTTATCTGCATCGACTGGGTGAGCGGAGAGAATCGAAGCGGCGGTGGACACTAGTTGCTCGCTGAGGTCCTAGCAATAACAAAATGTGAACCGAAGCCCCTCCCCATCAGTAAATGTATTGTTCTCCAGCAGCCATACAGTACATGCTGGCATTGAAAGAAGAAATTGAAAAAAAGAATGGGACACCTGGAAGGCCCTGCAATGGAAGAGAGAGCACGGACTGTCGTGACTGAATTCACCCTTTGTTACAGCCTGAGATATACAGTACTCCATTTTTAATCTCGCAAAGGGAGTTAAGAAAAAATAGCAACAGTGTGACTCAATCCAATCGAGGGTATGGATGCAAAAGTTCTGTGGAAAAGCAGCAAGTCACTGCCAAAGTTCTCTATATCCACTTCCCATCTCGACTTTGTAATACACAGCGGTGCCTTGAGATCCGAATGACCTGACTTATATGTCATGGCTGTTTGTATGCCGCTCACAGTTAAGTTTACTGTCAAACTTAACATAGCACAAAGATAATTACACCTTGTAATGTGTATTTAAAACAGGGGTTTCAAACTCATTTTTGTCGCGGGCCACTTTGGAGTTACATCTTCCCTCGGAGGGTCGTTATGACAGTGAAACTGAATAAATGTTTAATCATCACATCGTATTATAACTTGTACACAAAAACAAAAAAACAAACAATGATGGCTCACTTCAAGAAAGGCTCTGCTAGCATACTGCTACCATACAAAGGAAATCACCATTGACATGCTACTATCAGCATCGATAGTTGCGGTTTTAAAACAATGCATAAGCAATCCATATTTAAAGACAAATGGTGGTGCAACTCATGTAGACAGATGATATAACAAAACTTACAGAAATATATACCTTATCCTCTGCAAAAAATGATCAGCATCTTATTAGTCACCTACTGTAGTTGTGAAGCTATTCTTCATTTGTGGGTGCATGACTATATTATATTGCCAAGGCAGGCACATGAGGAAGAGCAGCACAGTATTTTTCTTATTAAAAAGGGAGGCTGGAACGGATTAATGGCATTTCCATTCATTTCAATGTGGAAAGACGATTTATGTTATGAGTGAGGTCACAGAATGAATTAAACTCGTATCTCAAGGCACTCCTGTAAGTTAGGCAGTACGGCAACTCGTTAGTCATCAAAATTAATTCAACATTTCATTTGGCGCATGCGTATGACCCCATTTCAGAGTTTGGTTCCTCCATGATGAAATTTTGCATTGAACTTTCACCTAAAATAAGAACGACGAGAGTTAGTGCCACGCTGAGGTTTTTAAAAAAATGTGCATTTTGCTGACTTTAACAATGAGTTATGTGAAATATTACTAACTTACTCTGAAAGTTTGTGGAGGTGAGATTATTGGAAGTTGTGTAGAAAAAAAATGCTGCAACCAAAAATGATGCCATTTGTGGGCTTTTGCCACTGTAAAAGAAGGTCAATTTTGTCTGTCGTTACAAACCAAACAATGAATGCAGTTACTGTAACATGTTAAAGCCATAGAGCACGGGTGTCAAACAGGGGCCATGTTCACCCCAGTTTGCTGTCAAGTGGGACCAAATTAGTAATAGTTACTTTTCGTGAAAATTTGCACTTAAGTTTTTTTCCTTATTGGCTGGATTGGATTCCGGGATGATCTGGTTCTGGCGAACGGTCCATACGTTTGACACCACTGCCACCATGTGTAACACAGCTGGAAACCTCATCCTATTTGTGTTAAGCTTTTCCTATAGAAACATGACAATCAATGGAATTTGAATAGTAAATTAAGTCTTTTCATGTCTGTAAATGTTGACTAAAATCTATGTTGAATTTGTTTGTTCTTCCTGTACAGTTTTAAATTAATTTGAACTGTCTGTCAATAAAGTATGTCTCATTTGTACCCCTTCTGAGCTCTGACAATAGAAGGAGTAAAGTCAAGAAAATGGAAGTAGCTCAGTATATGTGCTGCGAGTTTCGGAGAGAAAACAAGTGGGGGTTGGAGAAGTGTGTCTGTGCATTTCCTGCTACGAGTTGAAGTAACAGAGAAGAGGCTCAACTTCCTCCATTGCGGTGGCGCGTCGGCCAGTGCTGAGAAGACACCGTTGCACACCAGCAAGAGTTGGTCGCAGTTCTGCGCCATGAGCCGAGCAACTAAAACCAAAACGGAGAACGCGCAGAGCTCCCTGCTAAGCCTGCAGGAAAATCAGGCCCTGGACAACCTGCTTGGCAGAAGGTGTGCTGTAAGTTGACACTCCAATCTGCGTGTCCGTGTGTTCGCGCACGCTTGTTAAAATTACAGCCTACCTCTTTTTTCCAGGTTGATACAACTGAAATCTCTCTCATATTATTTGACAAACATTATTTGATTGTTTTTTTTAACAGGTGCTCACTGGTAATATTCTGGGAAAATACAAATTGGAATTCTGCAAAACACTTTGAAATGTTGGCCCAGGTTCAAAACCTTAATGCAGGCTTGAAATCCTGCTTTGAGACCTTGACCCTGGCTTGAAACTCCACTTGAAAACCTAAACCGAGTTCATAAACCTAGCACAGGCTTGAACCCCTAATCTTAGCGTGAGAAACTTATTTTAAACTCTAACACTGGCTTTAAACCTCACTTTGAAACCCTAACCCTGGACTCTGGCTTTAAAACCTTACTTTATATTAACGCCGGCTGGAAAGCCTAACCCTTGCTTGAAACCCTATTTTGAAACTCAACCCTGGCTTGAGAACCCAATTTTAAAAACCTAACTAGGACTTGAAAAACTAACCCTTGGTTGTAACTGCAATTTTAAACCATAAACTGAAACTACAGAAAACCCAATCTTGAAAGCCCCTAATTAGAAACTCTAATACTTGTTTCAAACCCTAAGCCCCCACTTGAAACCCAAACCCTGGTTCAAAACCTTGATCCAGACTTAAAATCCTTCTAGAAGTCTTTAACTCTGGCTTGAAACCTTAACTTGAAGCCCTGGCTTGAAAATTCAACTTAAATTCTTAACCCTTGACCCCAACCCTGGCTGCACACCCTAATTTGAAACATTGGCCCAGACTTGAAACCCTAACATGTTTTAAAACCCTTACTTTTAAAAGCCCAGCCATGGCTTGAAAGTCGTAATTTGAAACCCTTACCCAGGCTCAAAAACCCATTTTGAAAACTTAGCTCCGACTTGGAAATCTGACCCTGAGTTGAAATCACTGGCTTGAATCTCCTAATTTAAAACTTTAACCTTGTCTTGAAACCATAAATAGAAACCATAACCCTTGGAAACACCACTACATTGAAACCATAACCATCACTTAAAACCAGCCAACTTTGATGCCCTAACTCAATTTGAAAACCCTAAGAATGGTTTGAAACTCAACTTTGAAAGCTGAACCCTGACTTGAAAACCCTAAATTGAAACCTTAACCCTAGTTTCCGAACCTAACCCTGTATTGAAACCCTATCTCTTGTCTGAAGCCCTCATCACCTCTTTCCAAGCTATTTATAAAGTCGCATTGTGTATCTCGAACAAGCTCCTTACATGAAGTCATCGAAAAGGAGGAAATGGCGCCTCGAGCATTTCTTCCTCTGGTGTCAGAATTCGACGCTGTCTCTTGTGTTGGTCTGCAAGCATCTCTTTTTCTCCGGCACGCTCAGTGGTCACACACCAATGCAGATTAAGTCAACTGAAAACGCATACAAAGAAAACAAGAGCTCAAAAGTGAAAATCAACGTGTAGACATCGGTGTGTGTGTGTGTGTGTGTGTGTGTGTGTGTGTGTGTGTGTGTGTGTGTGTGTGTGTGTGTGTCTGCATATACAGTCTATGGCCACTGCAGTGGCGCAGTTGTTCATGGCCCTGCCTCACCAGCCGTCCACGTGGAGCCTGCAGCACACTGGCGTGGTCTGCCTCATTAAGGACAACCCTCAGCGCTCGTACTTCTTTCGCATGTACGATTTGAAGGTAACTGTGGCACATCACGTGTGAAGAACGTTCCGCGGAAGCCACACAAGCTGCCTCACCTCCCATCACCCGAAAATTCGAATACAACAATCCTTGGTTTATCGCAGAGGTTACAGTCCAGTCCAGTCCACTCCTGCCATTGACAAAATCCATAATGTGGTGACCAAATCTTTACATTGTTAGCTATATATTGTAAAGCTCAATGCACACAATACCAAAACAAATGCAAGGTATCATTTTTGTCCACTTGGGGACACTGAATGTGTGTGCCTTTAATGTGAAGTGAAAGTCAGTGAACGAGAGTATAGGGTTGGCTGACTGTTAGCTGGTTAACCGTTAGCCACACTGCGTGTTACGTGACCCCGTGGTTGAGCCCTATTTGGCTTATTGAGCTAAAAATGATCAAATGCACGACTTGACTTTGACTTGGTGTTCATGAGATTCGATTACATTTAAACTCGAACTCCAACACTTGAAAAAGTCTTTCTTGTTTACTAGGGATGGAACGAAATGTAATTGGCACGATACATTTACTTCAGGGTAATTAAGGACATGGTACGGTACATTATAAATCAAGAGAATGTCACGCATGTGCGCATACACGCAAGCACATATACTTGTACACACGTGTTCACACACTTGTAAATTCACAAGTAACTCAGAGGTTGTGAGATTTGCCTGGCAAAGTCATCGTTGCTCATAACATCCGAAGTTAGAGTTTCATGAAATTGAATACGCGCACATTCAGAACCTTGCCCAATATACTCATAATATAAAGAGGAACAAATCAGAGTAAAACACAATGTTTTGATGAGTTGAATTTAGTCCCTAAAGCCTTTTTTTCTTTGCTGTTTATTTGCTTTCTTCTCAGAGTCAACTTTTGTTTCATGCACTGATTCTCGAGCTACCAGCCAATCAGAGTGATTAGTTGTCACAGATGACTGTCATCATTTTGTATCCTGGCATTCAATTCATATCTAAGAACGACACGTGAATCTCTTCATTCTTTGCAATTCTAAGCCTTTGTCCATTGGCCAGCGTGAAGCTCCACCCCTGCTCGCGACTATTCATAAACTGATTATAACAGCGTTACAGCTAACTAAGTCAAGAACGAACACTGAGTTCCAAGTGGCTAATTTGCAACTATGTTGTAAGTGAGCAAAATTACAGTATATGATGTGCCTTAAGACTTGCTTAACCCAAGGAATAGTTTGACTCGATTTACTTGATTTTTGCCACAGTAGCTTGGGACTTGTTTGAAAGTCAAAGACAGTTGAGGAAAAATGACTTGTCTTACTTCCCACAGGCTGGGAGGCAGCTGTGGGAGCAAGAACTCTACAACCAAATAGTTTACTCCACAGCTCCGCAGTTGTACTTTCACACCTTTGCTGCCGATGTAAGTGTGCCCTTCAGTTGACATTTCAACAGTCACCGTGCGGTCAAATTGTGCCTCACAAGTATTTGCTGGATCAGTCATGGGCGGCTTCTTTCCAAGAGGCTTTGTCTTATGCTTTTGCGCCTGCCGTGCAGGACTGTCAGGTTGGACTGAATTTTGCTGAGCAGCAGGAAGCAGAAGCCTTCAGAAATGCTGTAGTGGGAAAAATCAACCAAAGGAGCAACCGGCAAGGTACTACACTCCTTTCATTAAAACCCACTCAATGGGTTCTCTATTTTATTAATATGTTCGATACGAGAGGTGTATCCAAAAGTCTGCCTTGACAAAAATAACAATGCTGTCATTCGTTTGGAAGAATTGTTTACAACGGTAACTGCAAGCGGTTCACATTGGCAAATAACAACAACAAAATGATGTAAACAAAAAAAAAAAAAAAGATTTTTGAAACATTAAATGACACATCTCTGACAGTCTCCATCAAAATGGAGCCTTCTTGTCTTTGTCGAGGCAGAATTTTTCATACTGGCTTTTAACATGAGTCTTCCACTGTCTCCACCCTGGAGAAATATTTTACAATTACGGTAAGTAAAATGCGAACATGAGACAGAAGAAGGCAGAATGCTGTACAGGATGTCTTTTAAAGTTAGAAACAACAACTATTTTTTATAATTGATTCATTGTTTACACCCACTTTATAACTTCAAATTGTCCAATGGCTCCCATTTCAGCCTCTCAGCAGAAAATAGTCTCTGAATTCTGTTGTCCTTCACAAAAGCAGACTGATTATCTTTGTGTTTAATCCGAATAAGACATCTACAAACATCTGCTGTTACTTTGGAAAGAAAACAATGAGCAACTTTTTTATGACATGCTATGGACCAACCAGTAACTGAATCGTAATCCATTTATCGGGGAAAGTCTAGCCGGTTTAATTGTGCTCATTATTTGCAGTCAGCGTTTGAATAACTTGTAATTTCCATGTAGTTAAACCCGAGGTGTCCTCAGAATTGTACGCCAAACGAGTCGCCCTTCTGCAATAATCAGTACCCAAGAAATAGCTCTCAGTTTCAAAAAGATCACTCGCCCTCATGGGATAGTGCTTCGTTGGTGTTTATTTGTTTTTGTTTATCCAGCAAACAAACAAAGAAACAATGATCAGTCAATAAATAGTCCCCCCCCAAATGATTTTACAGTAAATCTTGTGTATGTTGCATGCAAAATAACATTTGTATCTGATTATTTGATTGATGGTTTTGACGAATGTCATCAATAATGGAGAGACCAAGATGACATATAACAATTGTGATCGTCATGACAAGGCTTCTGACACACTGTTCTCAGACAGAGTTTAGAATGCCATCAACAAGTTGCAAGAGAGAGACTGGAAGGCTCACAGAAAGGTGTAGAAGTTTAGGATATTATTTTTCTTTGCTCAAATGCCTGTGAATTTTGCTGTCAAACAGTTGGACGTTTGCATTCAAAAGTTTGAAGAAGGTCAAATGAGGTTCGACTGAAAAAGTTAAAGGGCTGTTTGCAATGTTTTTTTTCCTTTTCCAAAGTGTGAATTTACTCATGTTCATGTTCCCATTTTTGTGTAGAACGAGGGTCTCTTCCTGCTGTCCCACCAGAAAAATGTAACTCCTTCGCCTTGCTACGATTACCACGATGAACTGCAGCAATAAATGAATGACAAGCCTTTATTTACTGTCCTCCAAAAGCGGCATCTGGTAGCCGCGGTTCTTTTCACAAAGACTCCATGGATATCCCGAGCCCCGATGTTTCCCTACGTTACCGCTTGATACCCTCGGCTTCCTCCTTCAGGAAAGGGAAAAAGGACAAGAAAAACAAGAAAAAGGGACTCTCTAAAGCTGACATTGGCGCCCCCAGTGGATTTAAGTAAGTCATCTTGAGAATGTTTGGCTTTTGACGTTTTGTAAAATGTTTTGATGTTGCAGTAAATGTTACTTCATGCATGAGAGGTTCGGTTTGTTTGTTTAATCGAGTGCCAGAAGTAACGGCGATGTCTTGTAACCAACCAAGTGTCCTAAAACTGTTCCACAAAGTAGTGAGTAGTTCTGTGGCAACCTCCCTGTTCTTTTATCTTTACTGCGAGATTATATGAACATTAACTACCAGAAGACTGTATTTTAGATACGAAAATGATCGAGCACACGGCCTTGGAGCATTTTCCGCCAGATGCGGAAGAAGATCTGCCCTGTCCAACACGAATACCTGTATTATTCGTGTACTATCATAGCCACACCCACACAGGGGATGGGGGCAACTTTGTCTAGCTAGCTGCTAGCCCATCTAATAATGTGACTCCACAGTCTTGACTGGATTTCAGCTCTTAAATGTGACATAGATAGGGGAGGTAATAGCAAGTAGAAAGTCCACAGCGATGCAACTGTCATGCTTTATTCGCCTATCTAATAATGTGCGCCAAAGACTGCTAAATCGAACAATTCCTCCTCCAAAAATGTTTGCCTCTCCGAGTATCATCATATAGAATTAAAATTCCTTCCTTTCAGGCACGTCAAGCATGTCGGGTTTGACCCCAACAATCTGGACCCCGACCTGTGGAACCTCCTCTCCCAAGCAGGCATCGGAGAGGATGAGATGAGGGATGAGCAGACGTCCCAGATGGTCTATAACATCATTGAGCAGTCTGGTGGCATGGAGGCGGTCAAACGGGAGGCCAAAAGAGGAGGTCAGAAGTCATCAATGCTCATTTACAGCATTGGCTTTTAAGGGGGACTAGTGATGGTAAATGGACTCGGTAATTGCTGCAATGCAAATACGAATGTGCCTTGAGAGACCAGTGACCGTTCTTGTTAATTTTCCGAGGCACGAGCTGTCGTTCATCTGACAGAGGCTCATTGTATGTCTCTCACGTTGGTATTCGTCACATGGAATCCACCTGTTTACTGCCATTGGCGCATATACAGTGATCCCTCGCTATTTCGCGGTTCGTTTATCGCGGCTTCAGTGCATCGCGGATTTTTTCAAACATATTCATTAAAAAAATAAATAAATAAATAAATAAAATTA